TCGCGAAAACCGTCAAATAAATGCAATCGACTTTACTTAATACGGTTTTATTCTTATTTCGTATGAATCCTTATCCAAATAAATATGTTTTATTATTCACATTTGTTAAATTATCAATTGCAAATGTCAAATTGACATGACATTATGTCAAACCATGGCAACCTTGCTTCCTTGATGTTGGCTTATGGTCTTTTTATTTGTTCTTTTTATTTTTACTTATGGTCTTTTTCCCACATTAGGGTTTTCATCCAAAAAATTTACCCCTAAGTTTAACGGTGTGAAAATATATAGCCTAAAGCGTGACGTAAGTGTGAGCCTTTTTATAAAAAACGGGTTATTCGAAAATATGCTGTGGTTTCTGACATCTTAGGCAACAAAGAAGTGTGTGTTTACGCTTTATTATAATAGTATAGATTAACACATGAAGATTATATTGTAACTACTGTAATTGAAATGAGATAAAATTTTTACGTCATTATATCTTAGAATATGTACGAAATTCAAACTCCGGCTTAATTTAACGTATAATAATTTGAACTTGAAATCGCAATTAACCATTTTTGCTATCAAAATACATGACTAAACTCTGCGAATTTTTAAATGTAACAAATTTAAAATTCAGCTAAAACGTAAATCGCTTACACTGAATTCAGCTGATTCGTTCTCTGTTACAATGTAGGTTACCTTTTAACAATTTTGTTGAACACAATCTAAGATTTCTCATCAGTAAATTCTTGTTACCGGTTGTTATAATACTTTGCAATTGTCAGTATTAGCAATGCACATAAAACTATCGCAAAACTGTTGTCTCGCTTTGATTCGTATGAACTTATATGGTGGTGCACACACTATTCGATTTTTAGTTGTGGTAAACAGTTGAATTGGCTGCGAAACAATCGACAATCGCCAACAGTTGTGCCATTATTTAGTCAAAATGATGCGCCCCCTCTAAGTGTTTTTACAGTATGTAATTACAGTTATAATTTTTTAATTTGACTTAAAAAATATTTTTTTGCACTTTGTTTCACAAAAGT